ATCATAAGATTAAATCTGTGAGTAAATAATTTTGAGTATAGCAGCCTCCTCTAGAAGTGAATTTAAAAATGAAAGTGAATTAATATTTTAGCTCAAAAGTGGTTAAAGTGGTTAAATTAAAACAATTTGCTTGTAAATTCTTACTCTGTGGACTAGGAAGGTATGTTTAATCTTAAATGTAAGTTTAGTAGTATAAAATTTACTGGCATTTAGCTTCTAGTGTAATATTGTGATTGTGTTTGACCCTCTGTTAAAAAAAGTAATTTTAAAACTGTTAATAGAGAGGCAATGTCATCTTTCTCTGTGTGGTGAAGAGGGATCATCTAATCATAACTCTTTGCAATGACTAGCCTTTATTTCCATCTTCACCCTTTGACAAAATACAATAAATTCAACAATTTTTACTTTGCATAATGGTTAACTGTTGGTGGTTGTATTTTAGCATTGCAGTGGCAATACAAAGTTTAAGCTAAGCCGGAAGAACCTATGTAAATATTTACATATAGCCAGGCAGTTACTCTCAGAACTGTTTCATGCCTGTGATCTACTATTTAGTTTTTATTTAATGATATTTAATCTTTCATGCTGATAGAAGAGTGGTAGTCTGGATGCTTTTTGTTTATGAAAGATACAGATCTTTCTGTATATGAGCAATCTCATTGATTTATGGTTCTTTTTTTTTTTGGTGTGTGTTACATCCTTGTACTGGTCTGTAGGTATCCCTGAATGTAATTTGGCTCACCTGTAAGCTGATGGACTGAGTTAGTCCAAGATAAATGCCTTTGCTTCATGTGATATGCGTGTATCTTGTGAAATTAATACATTTCAGGAGTTGCGATAAAAGAGTAAAACAAAAGTTATGCCTGAGGTTAGCCTAATTGCGTATCATGGTCACTTATTGCATGCAAGGATTTTAGGGAAAACAGACCAGGGAAAATGCATATTGTTTGAGTGTGTGATATAAAACACAGATTTAGAGGTCCTAGCTACATGGTCCATGCAGGGCAGATTCCTGAGTGGGCCTTGGCATGTAGTATATAATAATACACAGGTAAGGTAGTTCTAGGATTGAATTAGCACATGAGTTCTTTGTAAACATATCTCTTTTCAAACATAAACCTGAATTTTACAAAGTCCTCCCTAGCCATTCCCCTCTTCCTGTGCTGCCCAAAAATAAGTGAAGTTAAGCTGGTGTCTGATCAAGGTTTATGTAGTAAGGCACTGGGAGAAAATGGTTTCTTCTACCATTAGTGCTGGATTGTGCAGTGCATACTTACATGGCAGACTGACTCTGTGCTTACATGAGAGCATGTTTTACTCTGGCAGAGTTATCCTACTAGGTGTCTTTCTTCTGAGGAATATTTTACATACTTTGCATACTTTTATTTATGTATATTACATGGAAAAAATGGAACATTAAATTTACTGAGACTGCAGTCCACCTGTTTAAATAAGAGAACATGGTGTTCATTCTGTGGCAGTCACTATTTGTATGCCTGTCTCTCTCTGAGTTATTTCAGTTTGAGATTCTTGTTTTAGTTATAATTTAAGTGGCTTGTATTGTTGTACCTCAGACTTTGTTTTTGAATTACTGTCTTTGCTTCAGAGCTGTTCCATTTTGCTCCTTCAATTATTGAATAGAATGTGAAATACTTAAAGACTAACTCAGAATAGTCAAAATACGGTATTTCTGTGAAACAATGAAGAACTGGAATCCATATATTATAGGCTACAATACATAAAAAGAAAATGATTAAACCGTATCTCACTTATCATAGATCTTTTTAATAGGAGCAAAATCTGTGTTGTTAGTTCCAGGCCAGCGTATTTCCCATTCACAGTGCTTTAGTGCATAACTTATAAATCTGTCCTCATCATCCTATATTACTTTTTCAAAGGAAGACTAACATCAAGCAAGACAGGATGAATGAAAGTCAGTGAAGGTCAACTAGACAATCCAATTATTAAAGATTCTTGGAAGAACAGTACTGTGATCTATAAAAGAATTGGGTGTGAATTTCTGTATCTTTGTTGACAAGGGTCACTTCTGTAGAACTGCAATATATTTTCTATGGTAATGTGGTTTTAGATTATTCCAGTCAAACTTGTTCCTATAGCACGTCTGAATGTCAGTTGTTTATATTCTAAAATTCTGTATTCTATATTCTATTACTTTGCAGAAGACATATTTATAATACAGGCCCTTAAGGAAAATGTACTATATGGTTACATACTGCATTACAAAGAGGAGTGTTAAGATTGCATAATTGTGTAATACATGCCATTGCTAATTTTCCCCGCATTTTTTTTCATTAGTTACTTACCTTTTATTCTGCAGAACAGGCCATCTCTTGGGAGCACAGAACACTTTGTGTACAAAAGTATACGAACCCTTTTGTACAGTAAAAGAGATTACTATTTCTGGTAACTACTTACAGTAGAAGTATTGAGCTGACCAGCATGTTTTAGTTTAAATGTGAAAGTTCAGGTAGGTGTATAAGCCATCTGTGCTAGACACTTCAGATGGTAAAACAGAAGAAAGTTTACTCAAGCAGAAGAATAGTTGTTTTCAGTCTTAGGGACTGACTTGAGCTTTAAGTTGTGCTTTGTTCCTTTTATTTCAGATATGTCTGAAACTTACCTGCTGGTTTTTCTTTTTTTGTCCCCTATGTGGATATGTCTAATGAAAAATAATACTACTACATACAAACCTTATTTTATTACAGGTTTTTTTTTGAGTCGTACATAAATCAGGACAGATTATGGTATTTGGTGACAAATTATATCCGAAGACTAATACATAAATCTACTAGACTACGCTACACATGTTTATAAATACATTCCAAACTAGTACATGCTCTTACTGTTCTCCACCCCTGCAAAAAAAAACAGAACAAAAATACTCAATATAGATGTTATTTTGTACCCTGTCATCAGATACTTAGCTTACAGGTTTTTTTTATCTGGTGTTTCTATACACCTTACATTTCTTCTGTGGGAAGCCATTCCTGTGAAATTCTGTGTGTGTGTACATATATGTATATAGAGAAATACATATTTTCCTTCCCAACTCATACAATTGCAGGAGAGTGTGGTCCTGTGTTGAGTAGCTAACCAAACAGAGTATCAAGTGGCCTTCGTTACAGGCTGCATAGGAATCATGTTACTAAAATACCAATTGCTATGAATGACATAGGAGCTGAAAAAGAAGTGATGTATTTCCTAGGTACTGGACAACTGGTGTAGTAAAGAATGTGAAATGACACGTAGGAGCTGAAAAAGAACTAATGTATTTCTAGGTACTGGACAACTGGTGTAGTAAAGAATGTGAAGTGACAGTGCTGATTGAGAAAATTTTTACATTGTTTCCCAATAAAAGTTGAAGTTAGCTTCTGCAGCTGGTGGAATTTTATTGGCTGACTGCGAAGGCTAGGATCTTTTACTGAACTGAGCTTAAAGTCAGCAACAATTTCAATGCTCTGCTATTTTATTTATAAATCAAGATTTAAGGACAGAAATTGCTGTTAGTGGTAGCAAAATGCCTATGTAAAGTGGTGATTTCTACAACAGTAATTGTAAAGTATATGCAGGTGTCCGACTACTTTTGACAGATTGTAAACAATTTTTCTAAACCTGGAAAATACAGAGAAAATGAAGATTTTTTTTTTCTGACTAGATGATGCATATCTAATGAGCACTGAAAAGGTTTGCTGCTAATCTGTAAACTATTTATTTATATCTATATGTAATCTACTAACTTTTACCAAAACTATTTTTTCACACATTTTATTTGGAATGCAAAATATTCCCTAGTATGAACAGTGAAGTGACATGTTAGGCAAGCGTGAACTGTGAATAAAGATGATTCACAGCACAGCAGGTGTAAAGTTCCTATGTATGTATTCACATGACGCTAAGTTGTGGACTAGATATTTCAAAACTTGTTTGGCTTTTGAGTTCTGTGATAACAAGAAGACATCCTTACAAATCCAGAATGTCCTTAGCATTCAGGATTTATGATTCCAGATATAGTGAGACATTCCTGAGCAGTTTCTCTGACAAATACAGATTTTGTCCTAAAATCAAGGTAGAGTTTTCCATTGTTGTCATTTGCACTAGGTGAGGGGAGGATGAAGGTGGAGGAAAGGGAAAGAAAGAAAAGAAAAACTAAACAAAAGAAACCCAATGAACTTGTATAAAAGCTGTTATACAGGTGCATTAAGTACACCCAGGTCAATATTCCTCACAAAGTTCACAAAATACTGTCCTTTTAAATAGTCTACATACAAAGCATTACATTTATGCAATGGGTTGTGTTTCATAGTTACTAAAGTTTGTTAGACAAACTTAATTATAAAGAAACAAAACAGGTGTAGGAATAAATAAATTACAATAGTAAACTAGGTAGCATCTCCATTCAGCTGATAACTGACAAGGGTGTATTGCCAAGATACACAAGTCTCATGTGGGGGAAACAGATGGAACACTGCATTTAAGTTAAAATCATTAATTGTTTTGTTTTAGTAAAAATGCTTACAAAATGAATATAGACTTAAGCTACCACATAATTCAAATTCTGTGCAGTCAGCGATAGGTATAGAATGAGATTGCAGGATCATAGTAACATTTTTTTTAGTATTTTAAATGTTTTTATATAGTTTATGAGAATGGTGGATAGAGTGGTCTCTTGGGTTACTTACAGGATGTCAATAATGTTTGAATTTGAAGCCATCATTCTCTCACTTCTTCATATTCTTTTCCTTCTCTAAGAAGGTGATCTCCTTTTGCCAAAAATTACATTTTCCTTCTTCATGCACATGTATAGATGTGTGTGCATACCTAGTGTTTTCTCTCAAACTCTTGAAATAAATAACAACAGTGATGGTAATAATAAAACTATTAATGAGCAGCTTGCCAGTGTTACAGAGAAATTGCTTAGACTGTGTTAACTATGCGCTTGTATCAGCTATTCAACTATTGTCTGTGTATCTTTTCCACAGGTGACAGATCAGTCAGTGAAAGCTTTTGCTGAACATTGTCCAGAGCTACAGTATGTTGGTTTCATGGGCTGCTCTGTAACATCGAAAGGAGTCATTCACCTCACCAACGTGAGTATCATACTCCTTTTTGTTGGTCATTGGTGTGTTTGACTATTGCCAAACCATAGGTATCAGGTAGGCTAAGTTTATACTATGATGGATAACACTGTTATAGGCAGAAACATTACAAAATAAATGGACTTTGCACAATTTCCCTGTGTAAAAAGCCCGTCATAAAAACATATTTAAGGGATGAAACTTTTTCGTCGAAATAACAATACTGTTCAGGTCAAAAGTCTTTAAAATGACTCCAGATTCCATTGCAAACAAAACAAATATCTATAATTGGAAGTGGAAAATTTGTAGTGCAAAAGATTTAGACACTTTGTGTATATCCGTTCTTGTGTTTTAACATGGTGTAACTGATACATTTATTTTCTTTTTTTTTTTTCTGTAAGAGGAGTGATGTGTGAGAGAACTAACTTGAGTAAATGTGCGGGAAATAATGGAAGCATTCAATAAAATTAATGACTTGGGTGAGGTAGACAATCAGCATATTAATTAAAATTCATAACTGAAAGTAAATCCAGGGATCGTGCAAACATCACAGAGAAGATAGGAAAATGCATCAGGAATAGATAAATTAATATCTGTAGCTAAGATTTATTTTTTTTAAAGTTCAAATAGGAGAAGGAAACTTATTAAAACTGGTAAAGATCACTGTAGAAATTGGTAGAATATGAAAAGTTCTGGTAAACAGAAAAATAAACATAAAAATGCAGGTCCTGAGGGAACTGATGGATGAAGTTGCCAAGTGATAATCCATCATATTTGAGAATTCGTGGCAGTCTGGTGAAGTTCCTTCTGACTGAGGAAGGAGAAATCTAACCTCCTTTTTAAAAAGGGAAACAAGGAAGACCCAGGGAAGTACAGGCTAGTCAGTCTCACCTCTCTGTTCCTGGCAAGATCAGGGAGCAGATCCTCCTGGATACTATGCTAGGGTGCATGGACAATAAGGGAGTGATTGGTGACAGCCAGCATGGCTTCACTAAGAGCAAATCATGCCTGAAAAATTTAATGGCCTTCTATGATGGGGTTATAGCATTGGTGCATTAGGGAAGAGCAACTGGTGTAATTCATCTGAACTTAATGCAAAATATTTGACACTGTCCCACACAATATGCTTGCCTCTAAATGGAAGAGGCATGGATTTGACATAGGGGCCGCTTGATGGATAAGGCATCAGCTGGATGGTCACACTTAAAAGAGTTGTGATCAACAGTTTGAGTCGAAGTGGAAATCAGTGGCAGATGGTGCTTCTCAAGGGTCAGTATTGGAACGGGTGATGTGCAGCATCTTTGTTGGTGACATGGGCAGTTGTATTGTTGCAGCCTCAGCAAATTTGCTGGTGACACCAAGCTGTGTGGTGTGTTTGATATGCTGGAGGGAAGGGGTGCCATCCAGAAGGACCTTGACATGCTTGAGAGGTGAGCCAATGCCAACCTCCTGAAGTTCAACGAGGCCAAGTTGCAAGGTCAGGGCAATCCCAGCACAAATACATGCTTGGTGGACAATGAATTAAGAGCAACCATGAGGAGGACTTGGGTGTGTTGGTTGATAAGAAGCTAAACGTGAGTGTGCATAAGCAGCCTAAAAAGGCAGTTGTATCCTGGGCTGCATCAAAAGATGAATGACCAGCACATTGAGGGAGGTGATCCTGCCCCTCTACTCTGCTCTTGTGGGACCCCAGGTGTGCTGTTCTGGGGCCTTCAACACAAGAAGGAGGTGGACCTGTTGGAGTGAGTCCAGAGGAGACTATGAAGATGATCAGAGAGCTGGAGCACCTCTCTTGTGAAGGAACACAGGTTGAGGTAAGGCTTGTTCAGCCTGGAGAAGGCTCTGGGGAGACCTTGTAGAGCAGTTTCCAGTGTCTAAAAGGGGCCTACAAGAAACCTGGAAAAGGACTTTTTACAAGGGCTTGTAGTGACAGGACAAGGTGGATGGCTTTAAACTGACAGAGGGGAGAGTTAGATTAGACATTATGAAGAAATTCTTTAGTATAAGGGTGGTGAGGCCCTGGCACAGGTTGCCCAGAGAAGCTGTTGCTGCCCCATCCCTGGCAGTGTTCACAGCTACATTGGACTGGGCTTGGAGCAACCTGGTCTAGTGGAAGATTGTCTGTGGCAGGGGCTTGTAAGTAAATAATCTGTAAGGTCCCTTCCAACCAGAATCGTTCTGTGGTACAATGAAGATTTTTTTTATGATGAGGGTGGTTGGAACAGGTTGCCAGGAAGTTGGTAGATGTCCCATCCCTTCAAACATTCAAGCTCAGACTGAACGGGACTCTCAACAGCCTGATCTTGTTGAAGATCTCTGTGCTTATTGTAGGGTTGTCGTGGTTTAAACCCAGTCAGGTAACTTGTTCACTCACTCCCAGTGAGTGGTGCCGAGCTGACAACAATCGAGGTCCGTGTCCCCCCCCCCCCCACCGGGGCTCTCCCCTTCCCTGCTCCCGGAGGAACGGGGAGGAAGATCGAAAGAGTGCAACTCCTACGGGTTGAGACAAGAACAGTCCAGCAACCAATGTACAACACAAATCACCACCGCTACTACCAACGACAACAATGATAAGGGAAAATAACAAGGGAAGAGAATACGATACCACCGGCCAAGAAAACGAGTTCCACCCGGAAGCCCGTGTCCTTCTGGGTAACTCCCAGTTACCCCCCACCGCGGGCATGACGTGCTGTGGTACGGAATACCTCCCTGGCTAGCCCGGGTCAGGCACCCCATCTCTGCTTCCTCACAGCTTCCCCTCCTCCCTGGCAGAGCATGAGCCTCACAAAGTCCTTGGTCAGGGTAAACATCACTTAGCAACAACCGAAAACATCGGCTTCACCAACACTGTTCTCAGGCTGGAAGTCAAAACACAGCACTGCACCAGCTACCATGCAGGAGAAACATGACTGCTACTGCTGAACCCAGGACATTATCCACCCCTTATTCCATACCATTCACGTCGTGCTCAGATCCCACATTTTCAATACACCATCGCTCTCCCACATATATACATCCATATACATACAGGCCAAGAGGAAAAGATCATTTTCTTAGTGCATGGACCAATCCCTATAATGCTGCCGAGTCCGTTCGGCCCATGATGTTCAAAATTCATTCTCTGTTGGGATGATGGCTGGAGGGAAGTCAGGGCCAGTCGCTGGTGACCTGGAGACATCTAGTTGATGGGCTATAAAAGTATTACACAGCAGGCAACAGCATACAATTGAGTTCACTGGCTGTTTTCCCCTAAAATCAAATCCCCTTGAGGTATACATCGGACTTCCCCATCTTCCCGCATTACCCACCAAGTATATCCAGGTCCCTGAGCAAAAGCAATCCCATGAGTGGGTTTGCCTTTACCTGAAGCAGGAATTACCCAGACTGTCTTCCCCAGCAAATTCTTCATATGCACCACGGGAACTTTGTCCCCCTCTACAATATGTAAAAGTTCTGACTGGGCTGGGCCAGCCCTGTTGGCAGATCCTCTGGTGTTGACCAACCAGGTGGCCTTTGGTAAATGTGTATCCCAATGCTTGAAAGTTCCCCCACCCATTGCTCTCAGTGTAGTTTTTAACAGCCCATTGTACCGTTCGATTTTCCCAGAGGCTGGTGCATGGTAGGGGATGTGATATACCCACTCAATGCCATGCTCTTTGGCCCAAATATCTATAAGGTTATTCCGGAAATGAGTCCTATTGTCTGACTCAGTTCTCTCTGGTGTGCCGTGTCCCCACAAAATCTGTTTCTCAAGGCCCAGGATAGTGTTCCGGGCAGTGGCATGGGGCACAGTGTATGTTTCCAGCCACCCGGTGGTTGCTTCCACCATGGTAAGCACATGGCGCTTGCCTTGGCGGGTTGGTGGCAGTGTGATATAGTCAATCTGCCAGGCCTCCCCATATTTATACTTCAACCATCGTCCTCCATAGCAAAGAGGCTTTAACTGCTTGGCTTGTTTAATTGCAGCACATGTTTCACACTCATGAATAACCTGGGCAATAGTGTCCATTGTTAAGTCCACCCCTCGATCACGGGCCCATCTATATGTTGCATCTCTGCCCTGATGGCCTGAAGTGTCATGGGCCCACCGGGCCAAAAATAATTCACCCTTATGTTGCCAATCTAAGTCCATCAGAGCCACTTCAATCTTAGCCGCTTTATCCACTTGTTGGTTGTTCTGGTGTTCCTCAGTGGCCCGACTCTGGGGTACATGGGCATCTACATGACGTACCTTCACCACCAGGTTCTGCACCCTGGCACCAATATCTTTCCACAGTGCAGCAGCCCAGATGGGTTCACCTCTGCGTTGCCAGTTGCTCTTGCTTCCATTGCTTCAACCACCCCCACAGGGCATTTGCCACCATCCATGAGTCAGCACAGAGGTAAAGTACTGGCCGCTTTTCTCGTTCAGCAATGTCCAGGGCCAGCTGGATGGCTTTCACCTCGGCAAACTGACTCGATTCACCCTCTCCGTCAGCAGTTTCTGCAACTTGTTGTCCAGGACTCCATACAGCTGCCTTCCATCTCCGATGCTTTCCCACAATACGGCAAGAGCCATCAGTAAACAAGGCATGCTGCTTTTCACTTTCTGACAGTTTATTATAAGGTGGGGCCTCTTCAGCAAGCACCACCTCCTCCTTTGATGACATTCCAAAATCTTTGCCCTCTGGCCAGTCCATGATGACTTCTAGAATGCCTGGACAACTGAGATTTCCTATTCGAGTTCGTTGTGTAATTAGTGCAGCCCATTTACTCCATGTAGCATCAGTTGCATGATGTGTAGAGGAGACCCTGCCTTTGAACATCCAGCCCAGCACGGGCAACCGGGGTGCCAGGAGGAGCTGTGCTTCAGTGCCAATCACTTCCGAAGCAGCTCGAATCCCTTCATAGGCTGCCAGTATCTCTTTCTCAGTTGGGGTATAGCTGGCCTCAGATCCTTTGTATCCCCGACTCCAAAAGCTGAGGGGTCGACCTCGAGTCTCCCCTGGAGCTTTCTGCCAGAGGCTCCAGGT